CAGAGAGTACTCCATCTTTCTGTGCTATACCTCTGAGGATGCCAGTCACAGCTACTGGCGAAACGTCAGGTTCTACAGTGCCAAGACCATGGCCACGCAACCCCGAACATCTACAGCAACTAATGAACTCCGGCTGTGAAAGCCATCGACAAAATACTGTAATAAGTACATAACATGTGCCCTGCTGGATCAGACCAGTGTCACATCCAGTCCAGCATCTTGTTTCACACAGTGACCCAAAGGTTCCCCTGAAAAGCTAACAGATGGGTCATAGTGAACAAGGCCTGTCCCTGATGTTTCCTGCCTCTGAATGTGAAGGTTCTCTTTAATCATCATGGCTAGTAGCCATTGATGGGACCTATTCTCCATGAATCTGTGTCATCCCCTGTTAAAACCATCTGTGCTAAAGTTCACAGGCGGTAAATTCCAGCATGGTGTGGTGGTTAAGAGCGGCAGACTCTAACGTGGAGAACCGAGTTTGATTGTCCACTCTTCCACGTGAAGCTGGCTGGGTGACCTTGGGCCAGTTACAGTTCTCTCAGCCCCACCTGCTTCACAAGGTGCCTGTCGTGGGGAGAGGAAGGGAAGGTGATTGTAAGCTGCTTTGAGACTCCTTAGGGCAGAGAAAAAAGCAGGCTATAAAAACCCACTCTTCTTCTTCAACTTAATGACTTACATAAGAACATAAGAGGAGCCAATGTTGGATCAGGCCAATGGCCCATCCAGTCCAACACTCTGTCACACAGTGGCCAAAAATACCAGGTTCCATCAGGAGGTGCAGCAGTGGGGCCAGGACACCAGAAGCCCCTCCCACTGTTGCCCCCCCAAGCACCAAGAATACAGAGCATCATTTGCCCCAGCCTGAGAGTCCCTATCTATACCTTGTGGCTAATAGCCACTGATGGACCTCTGCTCCATATGCTTATCTAATTCCCTCTTGAAGCCGTCCATGCTTGTAGCCGCCGCCACCTCCTGTGGCAGTGAATTCCATGTGCTAATCACTCTTTGGGTGAAGAAGGACTTCCTCCTATCCGTTCTAACCCGACCGCTCAGCAATTCCATGGAGTGCCCACGAGTTCCTGTATTGTGAGAAAGGGAGAAAAGGACTTCTTTCTCAACCTGCTCTATCCCATGCATAATATTACTTGTTGAGTAAAGAAGTATTTCCTTTTGCCTCTCCTGAATTTACTGCCCATCAACTTCATTGACTGTCCCTGAGTTCTAGTATTATGTGAGAGGGAGAAAAAGTTCTCTTTACTTTCTCTGCCTCATGCATAATTTTATAAGCGTCTATCATATTTCCCCTTAAACGTTATCTATCTAAATGGAAAGATCCCAAGCTCTCTTTAGCCTTTCCTTATAGGAATTGTGTTCCTGCCGTCCAATTATCTTGGTTTCTTTCTTCTACCTTTTTCCAGCTCAGCCATATTTTTTAAAGAGATGGTGACCACAACTGTACACAGTGTTCCAAATGAGGCTGCACCACAGATCTATACTGTGCCATTATCATACTGGCCATTGTAATTTCACTACCTTTCCTAAGCATACCCAGCACAGAGTCTGTCTTTTTCTACCATTTCCACACAGAGTTGGTGTTTTCATCAAGCTGCTCACTACAACCCCAAGATTGGTGTAGTGGTTAAGTGCGAGGACTGTAATCTGGGAGAACCGGGTTTGATTCCCCACTCCTCCACTTGCACCTGGCTGGATGACCTTGGGCAAGCCCTAGTTCTGATAAGAGCTGTTCTTGAAAAAGAGCCGTTTCTGTCAGAGCTCTCTCAGCCCCACCTACCTCACAGGGTGACTGTTGTGGGGAGGGGAAGGGAAAGGAGTTTGTAAGCTGCTCTGAGATGCTCTGTCTTCTTGGTGCTTTGGGGGGGGGGTCAACAGTGGGAGGGCTTCTAATGTCCTGGCCCCACTGGTGGACCTCCTGATGGCACTGGTATTTCTGGCCACTGTGTGACACAGAGTGTTGGACTGGATGGGCCTTTGGCCTGATCCATCATTGGCGTCTCTTATGTTCTTATGTCCCCGAGGTAGTGAAGGGTGGGGTATAAATCCAATCTCTTCTTCTCTCTTCTTACTTGAGGTACTGCGGGGCCACAGTCATCCGAGGGAAAACTCTATGTTTTCCCCTCGGATGGTCGTGGCCCCGCCCCCAGCATGCCCAGCGTGGTCGCGTCACTTCCAAGTGACGTGGATGTGGCACACGTGCACTCCAGCCACCAGCCGGGAGTCCCCCGCTGCAGCAAAAATCTGACTTCGCAACCCTAGTTTGAGACTGTGTTCTTCAAGAAGCAGCAGAAGAGCGGGTTCTTGAGCTATATTTTTAGTGTTGCTGTCTCTGTTTAAAATTATGTGTTTTTACAATATCGGGACCAGTTTTATTGTATATGAACAGTCTTTTCTTGTTAACGATAAGCGCAAGAAGAAATAGTTTATACATTAATATCAGCCATATCAAATTTGGCCAATGTATAGAAACACATTCAACATTTAACTTTTAAACTAAAAGGCTTATTGCTTATCTTTGTGTGAGTTGAACTTTGAAAAATGATTCTTCTAGGGGAAGCCTATTGATTTTGTTGATGTTAATGAGGCAAACACGCGTTGGATCCAGGACTTCCGTATGAAATCCTATGCAAATCCTGCCAAACTAGAATCGACGGATGGTAAGGTAACTTTTGATATGCAGTTCACTGCCATCTGTAGAAGCACGGTATTCTTTCTCACTGCATATTCAGCTACAGTTGAGCACTTTGACGTCCCATTGAGTTTAAGGGATAGCTAAGTATTTGTCTAGGAGCTGCGGTGGCTCAAGTGGTTAAGATGATGAACTGCAGGCTGTGGAAGGTCAGCAGTTCAGCAGTTCGAGACCTGGGGGCCGCATGATGGAGTGAGCTCCCATCTCTAGTTCCAGCTCCTGCCAACCTAGCAGTTCGAAAGCAAGAAATTGCAAGTAGATAAATAGGTACCACTTCGGTGGGAAGGTAACAGCGTTCTGTGCACCTTGGTGTTTAGTCATGCTGGCCACATGACCACGGAAACTTCTTCGGACAGCGCTGGCTCTTTGGCTTTGAAATGGAGATGAGCACCGCAACCCTAGAGTCGGATTCGACTGGCTTTCGAGCAAGGGAACCTTTACCTTTACTAAGTATTTGTCTACTGAAATCAGTGGGAATTCAAAAGTGCTTCCCTTTGGCATGATCATGCACGCTATGTATTGATGATTTCGTTTCGAGTCCAAAGAATAAATCAAATTAAAATCGATGTAGATTCTTTTCTGTCACATCTTTTTCTGCCATATATATGACGGTGAAATAGTATTCTGGAAAAGCCGGTGCTGTGACTCAGTTTCCCTTTTGCGTCTTCCACGCACCATTCACTCTGCTTGGTCTTCTGAACTGGAGATGCTTCTTTCCACAATGTCCACGTAAACTGTTAGCATTTCGTACTAGTATTTTACACTGGCTGTCTCTGACAGTGGAGCAGTTAATGTCTCATTTGAAGTTGTAGCCGTGCTTTTAGAAAGAAAAAGGGTCCCTTCAGTTGCTCAAGGCTTCCCTTGTACTTATGGCACTGTCACGGCTCAGGTGGGGTGTCACCTGACGCTGCCACCACTCTGGTTCCAGGCTCCCTTGAGGAGGCCCAGAGTACCCTCTCAAGACCTTCAGACCTCCCTTTTGGCTGAATAACAGGCGTGAGGACTAGGCAGAGAGAAACAAGGAAAAGGTTTATTTTATAGGAGGTCAAAGAACAAGGTGCAGAATAATAACAGTAAGTGGGTGAAAAGAAATCAAATGCCCTAAGGCGTCTAAATATATACTGTCCCTAGCTCACTATTCCAAGTGGCACTAGACTCAGGATTAGGGCCTCTCCCCTGCAGCAGCCTTCCTTCTGGCTCTGCCCTCTGGAAGAAAGAACAGCTCTTTCTGCTGCTCCAGAACTTTTATTCTAAGCCCTCCTCCTTCTCAATCCTGCATTAGGACTGTGTTTCCAAAGTGCTCTCCCCTCCGCCGCCCCCCACCCGCAAACCATCGGAGCTGTATTCAGGAGAGTGGCAGGCAGTACAAAGCTTACCTCCCTTAGATTACCTTGAAGGGAAAGAACGCCCTCTTTACCAGCCAGTTTGGCCAAGTGAAGGGTGGGGTATAAATCCAATCTCTTCTTCTATATATCCAATCTCCTCCTCCGTCTCCTCCTCCTCCTCTTCTTCTTTCTCTCTCAGCCCCACCTACTTCACAGGGTGTCTGTTGTGGGGAGGGGAAGGGGAAGGAGTTTGTCAGCCGCTCTGAGACTCCAAGTGAAGGGTGGGGTATAAATCCAATCTCTTCTTCTATATATCCAATCTCCTCCTCCTCTTCTTCTTTCTCTCTCAGCCCTGCCTACCTCACAAGGGTGTCTGTTGTGGGGAGGGGAAGGGAAAAGGAGTTTGTCAGCCGCTCTGAGACCCCCTTGGGTAGTGAAGTGCTGGGTATAAATCCAATCTCTTCTTCTATATATCCAATCTCCTCCCCCTCTTCTTCTTTCTCTCTCAGCCCTGCCTACCTCACAAGGGTGTCTGTTATGGGGAGGGGAAGGGAAAAGGAGTTTGTCAGCCACTCTGAGACCCCCTTGGGTAGTGAAGGGCGGGGTATAAGTAACCGCCACCCTGAGCCGCTTGGAAGGGCAGGATATAAATCTCAAAGAAATAAATAAAAAATATATAAATCCAATCTCTTCTTCTTCTTCCTCAGATTCTGGAGGTAGTGGTTGAGTGGAGGCAGTGGACAGAACCTGTGTGACAGTGCCTTTAAGGATGGACGGGAATGGCAGAAGAACACTGGGCCTCCAGTTCCTCATGGCCCTTGAGTAGAGCGAGCATTAGGCTAGTGGCAACCAGTGTTCCCTCTAAGCTGTGGAGTCTAGCGAGCAGAGATTCTACTGTGTGAGCTACTGGCATTAAAGTTGTGAGCGAGTGATCTGGCTGCTGCATCAATCAGTTTGCTCCGGAGCCCTCCTTCCTGAGCTAAGGGAAAAATGCGTGAGCCAGAGACTAAAAAACTGTGAGCTGGCTCACACTAACTCAGCTCAGAGGGAACACTGGTGGCAGCATGAGGGAGAAATGATGAGGTGTGGAACGAGTTACAGTCCCCATCTTTCCCCCTCTCCCCTCCCTATCAAAGTGGACAAGCTTTTAGGTCCCCTGAACATCTCATACCAAGAATACATACACCTTATTTTGTCCTTCTTCCCTAGGTGCCCGATACCATGCATTGTTGATTCCTGACTGTCCTGGTGCTATGACAGATCTGGCAAACAGCGGTTACTTAGCTAGGATCTTGCAGCATTTCAGCTCTGAGAACAGTGAGTAAGAATCCACAGGGATTTACACTGGTTTGAATATTTTTTTGTACAGCTTGGACTAGGAAGCGTGCGGGAAGACGCTATGAATAATTCTGTTTCTGGTCAGTCCAGGAGTCGTTAAAGAGAGGTTATTGATGATGTGGGTAGCAAACCATTGTTCACTTCAGTAATATAAGAACAGCTGTAGCCAATTGAGAAGCGAACGCATATTAGAAATGCACAGTTAAAATAATATCTTCCAGTATACATTGCTTACTCACCACCGGGGGTCATTTCGTAGAAAAAGAGGTGCAGGAGCTCATTAGCGTAACTCATTTGCATATGCCACACCCCCTGACATCACCGGAAGTGTGTCAGAAGGCAACACCCACCGCTCAGGCTCCACTGGACTGTTTTGGATTGGGGGGGAACACGCAGATCTGTCCTCACAGAGGAGGGAGAGCTTGTACCTGAATAAAACCTGGTCTTAAAAGGTGCCACTGGACTGTTTTGGACTGGGGGGGTGGGGGGCCCTCTGCTGCTTACCTGGCTGCTTCTTGCTCTGACCGAGGGCTGCTGGGAGCAGGGGGTGGGGCTTGTTGCATGTGCCCGCCCCCTGGGCTCTTTACTGCGGGAGCTCTGCTCCTGTGCACTCCTGCAGGAAATTACCCCTGCTCAGCACATAATTAGTTATTTATTTATAGTCTGCCTTTCTCACTAGACTCAAGATGTGTTACAAAAATCTAAAAACAATGCAATAGGAGCATTAAGAGGCAAACAATAAACAGTGTAATGATTGGGTTACAAGATTAGAACACAGTGCAATAAAATAGTCGAAGACATGACATGACCTATAAGAAATAAAAAAACGGGATTACAGAATTTAGAAAACGGTGCGGTCAGAACAAGATGACCTGGGTAGCTCAGGTTAGCCTGATCTATGTGGGTCATCTTGTTCTGGCTGCACTGTCTTCTAAATTCTGTAATCCTAAATTCTGCAACTTGACAGCATTTCCCCACCACCATCAAGAACAAGATAATGCCTACAATAAACAGTGCCGTAAACCACAGCCCTTGTGCTTTAATAAAAGCATCATCCTGTATAGCCATTGTAGCCTTTGTAAAAATGCCCTCCTGAACAATTCCATTTTACACATGCGATGGAATGGGAGAAGTGAATTGCGGGATCCTTCCTAACATCCTGAGGCAGGCCCTGCCATAAAGTGGGAGCCACAGCGGAGAATGCTCCAGGTACAGGCAGCCGCCGATTTTACCCATTTGCAGGGTGGCACCTTCAGCAAAAGAGAGCGCAAAAGTGGGCTTGAAGCTCAACATCAAAAAAACGAAGATCATGGCATCCGGCCCCATCACTCCTTGGCAAATAGAAGGGGGAGTCGTGGAAGTAGTGACAGACTTCACGTTCCTGGGATCCCAGATCACCGCAGACTGTGACAGCAGCCATGAAATTAAAAGACGCCTGCTCCTCAGGAGGAAAGCGATGGCGAACCTCAACAGCATGATAAAAAGTAGAGACATCACCCTGCCAACAAAAGCCCGCGTGGTCAAAGCAATGGTATTCCCAGTAGTCATGTATGGCTGTGAGAGTTGGACTATAAGGAAGGCCGAGCGCCAAAGAATAGATTCTTTTGAACTATGGTGCTGGAGAAGACTCTTGAGAGTCCCTTGGACTGCAAGGAGATCAAATCAGTCAGTCCTAAAAAGAAATCAACCCTGACTGTTCCCTGGAAGGCCAGATACCGAAGCCAAAACTCAGGTACTTTGGCCACCAAATGAGAAGGGAGCACTCCCTGGAGAACACCCTGATGCTGGGAAAGACTGAAGGTCAAAGAAGACGGGGACGGCAAAGGATGAGATGGTTAGACAGTGTCATAGATGCAACAAAGTTGAGCAAACTTCAGAGGATGGCGGAAGACCGGAAGGCCTGGTGTGATCTGATCCTTGGGGTCGCGAAGAGTCGGACTCGACTGTGCGACTGAACAACAAAACAACAACCTTCAGCAGACTTTGCTCAGAGGAGCGCAGCTGTCACAGTGGGGCATCGGGAGAGGTGGTCCTTTTGATACAGGAGTTGTAGGCCATGAAGGGCTTTGTAGATGATAGTCAGCACTTGATTTTAACCTGAAAACTAATTGGTAACCAACGGAGCCGTTGACAGTGCTCAAGCTGCAGCATCCTACATCGGGTGCAATTTCCAGGTTGTCTTCAGGGCTGACTCACGTAGAATACATTACAGCAGTCTAGCCTTGCAAGTACTGTGGCCAGATAAATCCGGGTCAAGGAAGGGAGCCATCTTCTGGGGTAAATGAAGACGGAAGAAACTTTACCTGCATTCCTCTGGCATCTATTTAAATGTGGCTCTTCCCTCCCCCATAATGTTCACCAGCATTAAAATCCCAGTCATGATTACAGTAAATGTTAATGATGCAACTGCATATGAATACTTTGTAAAATTTGCTTCGATCTGGTTTCCCATTTTGTGAACTCAGGGCCGGCTCTATCACTAGGCCAGCTAGTGTCTGGCCTAGGGCGCGCCGGCCCTCAGGGGCGCCAAACTGCGCCCCCAACACACACCCCCCGCAACCCCCCGCCGCTGCCCTAACCGGGCGCCCGCCCCTCTGGCGCCCATAGCAACTCAGGAGCACCCGGCGGAGGCAGCCGGGGAAGCTTTTGCCGGGGAACCCGCCGGCGGCACGTGGGGGGCGTGGCGCACGGGTGGTCGTGGCTCTGCACTTTTTAAAGGGAGCTCTGCCGGGAGGGGGGGAGGCAGCAGCACACCTCACCACCCGCCATCCGCTCGCCCTGCCTCCATCTCCTCTTCTCTCAGCAGTCAGGGAATCAGGAAAGGAAAGCCTCTCTCTCACACGCCCATCCCCCCATCCCCGCAGAGCTCCCTTTAAAAAGTAGCCCTGATAGCACCCGAGAGGTCGACCCCGCTCTTTCCAGGAGTTGTTGAAGTAGTAGGGTGTGTGTGTGTGTGTAGGTGTGTGAATGATTGAGGCTGAGAAGAAGCGAGTCTGGGGAATCTGCCGTCTGGGAGCTGGGGGGGGAAGGAGGGGAGGCATTTGCATTCCCCTCTAGCGTCGCGAGAGTTAAAGGGAGGAGGCTATTTTTGCAAGAGAGGCAGGGGGCTGGAGGAAGTGGGAGGGGGGGGAGGCGAGCGGCAGCTGGGTGACCCTCCTCCCAGCCTGGTTCTGGCGGAGAGGTCTCCAGGCCCCGCCGGGAGGTTGGCATCTGGAAATAAGTTTTTTACTTATATGTAATCGTGAACTATCTCCTATCCCTACATGTTTTTGAATTCTTGAACTTTTTGAAATATCTTGTAATGGTGTTTTTTTTTTTTGAATTATCCCAGTCTTTCTTCCATCAACACTCCTGATTAAGTGAAAGCGCTCATGTCCCTTATAGACATGATACTCTCATTTCTGTGATAGTTAGACAGGGAAGAATAAATATATACAGATTAAGTAAGGGTACTATCTGGTAATAATCGGAGTAGCAAGAGTAGGGATTCTTTTCTGCTGCTTTATTAGTGAGTCTATTACGTGCCAGAGTGTACTCTGTACCCTTTTTTAGATGTAATGGTGTGTCTTTGCAGAACCCATTTGTGCTGTTGGACATGGAGTTGCTGCCTTATGCTGTGCTACAAACGAGGACAAATCCTGGGTATTTGAAGGATACAGTTTAACAGGGGTAAGCACGAACCGGATACTTTTGTGTAGAATTCTCATTCTAATTAGTTGGTGACCCAGATACTGTTGCTTGATTAGATTACAGATTTGCCCAAAGCCTCCTGTGGTGTTGTTATTTCAGCGATGCTAGGCACATATCTTACTGGCTTTTCTCTGTAGGAGTGATTTAAGCTATATTTATTTATTTATTATCTCATTTTATAGTCCTGTAAATTTATAAAAAATAATCCCAAGAAAGCGGCAATAAAATTGTAATCACTGTGCGCAGGGTTTTTGGGGTTGGGTTTGGGGTTTTTTTTTGGTAGTTCTTACTTTGTGACTGATGTGCCCGAACTTCTGTAAGCATGTGAAGCGAGTACGCACGAAGACAATAGAAATATGCAAATGAATTTAAACGGTTTTGCACTCAAGTATGAAAGGAGAAGAATGGCTTAGTACAGGGGGGTCAAATCAGGCCCCTGGAGGGCTTCTATCAGGCCTGCAGCGGAACTGGCTGTCTTCTGCTTCTTCTTCCAGTTCTGCTGCTGCTGCGTCATTGTATGTTTGCAGCTTACAATTACACCTGATTGGCATACTCAAGATTGCAACAGCACAGACATTTTGATGCAATAATTCAGAGCAAGAGGTGTCAGTTAACAGACACTGTTAAATAAGCAAAATATTTGTTGTTGTTGTTCAGTCGCACAGTCGAGTCCGACTCTTCGCGACCCCATGGACCAGATCACGCCAGGCCGTCCTCTGAAGTTTGCTAAAATATTTAGCAAATATTTGCTAAAATATTGCAAGAGGGCTGATGTTTGAAGCATGTTTTTATTTTAAGTACAAAAAAACACCCTTTGTGTTTGTGTTCTTTATACAGTTTATATCTCCGCTACCTGGCATTACATTTTATGACACACATGGCCTGGCCCAACAAGGTCTCATTTATGTCCAATCCAGCCCTCATAATAAATGAGTTTGACACCCCTGGCTTAGTATTTGAGTGGGCTGATCCGTCTTTTGTGTCCTTTTTTAGAAATTAAGACTACATGGTCCACTGGTATATGTCTCTTTTACTGTTAATTTATAACGCATCTGTGCAAAGGGATGCAGTGTAGGCGCTCTTGTCTCGCTCGTTCAAACCAGGGCCCACCAAGTCATTAAGCATTCTTTGTGAGAATCTCAGCAACCCACGGGTTCTTGGTGGTCCCCTGGAAAGAATTCTTCCCGTGCCGGTTTTGCCGAATTGCGTTGTCCAAGTATTCTCTGGTCTCTTTCAGCCCTCTGTGTATGAACTGATCAGGCTGCCTCATTTTGCCACCTTGCCCATTATCGTCGAAGACTTTGCGAAAGACTCTGGAGCTAACTTTAGTGGTATGTCATTGTAACGCTGTCTGGAACCACAGGGTTTGATTGATAGTGATTCAAGCACCATTGCTGACAGTTAACTGTACAAAAAATGGGGGGGGGGAGGGGGGGAACTCAACCCAAGATAACACTGCGAACCAGAAGGGTTAAGCTGACCATGTATATTATAAAAGTACAAAATTTATTAGGGTGTACACATATTAAAATATATTCGGGTTAAAAAAAATTCCCCCCAAGTATCAGACTAATAAAAGCATATCAGATATTAATACACGTGATGGGTCAACACTTTCCAAGTGAAGACCAAACGCGTTTCGGCCCCAAAGGGCCTTCCTCAGTGGTCACTATTACAACATAGTATAGACACACATTCAAACATATGTATACAAGATCTTTAGTACACTTATATAAAGACCAGCTGTTGTATCCTTATATGTTTGCAATTGTGTTGCTGGTATTAATGATGGGCCATAGGTATAGCCATATCCATTCCAATTATAATGATCCCAAGATGTGGGATGAACTCTGACTGAGCTATTTCTGTGTAAGTCAGAGGCAGCATCACTTGCATTGCACCCGCCGGCTCAAGAAAAAGCCTAAGCCGCTCCGATCCCAGTTAGGCGGATGAGGGTTACTTGCCGGAGCGCCGTCTGGCGGTCCCCATTGTTGGAACGAGCAGATGTCAAAGCCGATTAAGATCCATTCTGGCTTTGATACCAACCTCAGCACAGTTTCTCGTCAAAATGTATTCCGACACATTAAAAGATTGTTAGATTTCGTACTGATCCTTGGTGGTTGGTATGTTGATGTACATTCTTTCAGTTGCATCTCTTTCCCCGTAGATACCGAATGTTAGTTTTAGTGCTTGGGACAGGGACTGTATGGCCCGATAAGGATACTTGCTTACTTATTCATATGCTGTTCAGTGTAATATTGGTGGGTTTTACTTGTGAAAAGATAAAAAACAAATAACTTGGAAATAAGTAAAACAAGTCCAGCACATTAGAAACATGCAGTAAATTCCTAAATAGAGTAACAAAATGTGAGTAGTTTCTCTACTTGAGTGTTTCTGGGGAAGAAAGAAAGCTGTGCCAAAAGACATACGAATATATTCTCCCCATGCAGCCAGCAAAGCAGATGCAGTGCACGTAATCCTAGACCGGCACCTTGTCACTGGACAGAACGACAACTCCACAGTGGCAGCTGTCCAGAATCTTATTTTTCTCTGCAGTAGCAGGTAAGTGAAAGTAGGGAAGTTGCCAGTAGAAATGGCTGAGGTTGAACAATGTCCTGTAACTTGTCAACTGGAGTTGCCTGAAACAGTTCATCAAAATAATTTAAAATATATTTATATCCCACGCCTCTTCTCCTTCTACCCTGTGAGATTCCAAGGTGCTTAGCTTACAAAATTAAAACTTATTTAGATAATGTATAGGTAAAGGTTTCCCTTGCTTAAAAGCCAGTCGAATCCAACTCTAGGGTTGCAGTGCTCATCTCCGTTCCCAAGCCGAAGAGTCGGCGCTGTCCGAAGACGTTTCCGTGGTCATGTGGCCGGCATGACTAAACACCGGGCGCATGGAACACTGTTACCTTCCCACCAAAGTGGTAGCTATTTATCTACTTGCAATGTCTTGCTTCCGAACTGCTAGGTTGGCAGGAGCTGGAACCAGGGACGGGAGCTCACTCCGTCACGCGGCAACTCAGGTCTCGAACTGCTGAACTACCGACCTTCCTGCCTGCAGTTCAGCATCTTAACCACTGAGCCACCGCAGCTCCTCTGATAACATACAAAACTAAACTAAACACCGTAATTGCCCACTAAACTTTAATTGGTCCCCGACTGAAGATTGTTTTTAAGGCTTGAGCACTATTTCTAGAAAGTTTTAAGTATAGGAGACTTCTGTTTTGGTGCTTGTGCAGGCTTTTTCTCAAGTTAATTATACGAGTGCAAATTTACCTGAGAGCCAGTTTGGTGTAGTGGTTAAGTGCGCAGACTCTAATCTGGGAGAACCAGGTTTGATTCCCCACTCCTCTACGTACAGCTGCTGGGTGACCTTGGGGCAAGCCATAGTTCTGTCGGAGCTGTTCTTGAAAAAGAGCAGTTTCTGTCAGAGCTCTCTCAGCCCCACCTGCCTCATAGGGTGTCTGTTGTGGGGAGGGGAAGGGAAGAGGTTGTAAGCCGCTCTGAGACTCCCTTGGGTAGTGAAGGCAGGGTATAAATCCAATCTCTTCTTCTTGTACCTGAGACGTGCTCTTGGGAACATAGCTCTAATCTGCATTTCATTTATTCAACAGGAAATGATGGGGCACTGTCTCTTTATAACCGATGGATATGGAAAACCTTTTGGCCTTGGAGATGGATCATTTGCTAATGGAGATGACCAGCATCATTCTGTTTGCCACCATAAATAAGACACAGGGCGCAGCAGTTTTTCTGAAGATGGACTGTGTAAAGCTTGAGAAGGTATATTAAACTGGATCGTATGTATTAAACTACCAGTCGTCCTGTGCCTGTGTTCGTGGAATTTATGCTATGTGTATGTAGCATTAAGGGAGCTGCGGTGGCTCAAGTGGTTAAGATGCTGAACTGCAGGCTGTGGAAGGTCAGTAGTTCAGCGGTTCGAGGCCCGGGTGCCGCAAGACTGGGTGAGCTCCTGTCTCTAGTTCCAGCTCCTGCCAACCTAGCAGTTCGAAAGCAAGAAATTGCAAGTAGATAAATAGGTACCACTTCAGTGGGAAGGTAACAGCGTTCCGTGCGCCTTGGTGTTTAGTCATGCCGGCCACATGACCACGGAAACGTCTTCGGACAGCGCTGGCTCTTCGGCTTTGAAACGGAGATGAGCACCGCAACCCTAGAGTCGGATTCGACTGGCTTTCGAGCAAGGGAACCTTTACCTTTATGTAGCATTAAGAGTTTGCACTAGTGAAAACCCAGCTCTGCGACAACCCCGAAGTGGTTCTCACATAAGTTCCTGGCCTTATTTTCTCCTGGAGTTTTGGCTTTACATTATGACATTTATACTCTAGGCATCAGAGTAGCCCACATGCTCCTGATCAGTTTGAAAGGCTGAGCCTGGCTCAGGGTTGTCAAACATACAGCCTGGGGGCCAGAACCGGCCTGTCCAGGGCTCTTATTCCAGCCTGCAAGCAACTGGGGTGAGGGTGGGAAGGCAGGAGGCTGCAGCGTGGGGGGAAGCGGGCACACATGGTGTAGTCGAGGCTGTCAAGAAACAGGGAATTGCTAGGGGGCAGGCCAGGGGTCATTTCGGAGAAAAAGAGGTGCAGGAGCTCATTAACATAACTCATTTGCATATGCCACCCCCCCCCCCGACATCACCAGAAGTGTGTCAGAAGGCAACACCCACCGCTCCACTTGACTTTTTGGATTGCTAGCTATTGGGGGG